AATTTATTAAGTATGGATTTAATTAATAGAACTTAATGACGAGAATAAACAAAAATAACTTAAATATATGATTCAATGAACATGGATGCAAGTTAATATCTTAAATTTTGAATTTAATGAGAGAGAATTGAATGAATTTAATATCTTTAAATTACCTCTTTTCAAGTCATTTAACATCAAGAATCAATTACCCTATTTGCTCTCATTTTTTATCAATAAATTTAAATATAGAGAGGTAAATTTTGTTCTTAGAAAATTTCAGAAATATTCTTGAGGCCATTCGTGCTTTTTAAAGTAGTATATATATATATATATATATATATATCACCTAACAAAGCTTGTACATCACACGAGCCATGACTATGCCTTCCTCCTTGCCTAACTTTTTTTTCCTATATATATATTTTTGAATTTTCTTTTATTTTTTTTGGCTCTACAAATAAAATTAAATTCAAGTGAATATGCTTTGATTGGAGTTAGTCTGCCTTCTAGAGGAATAGTAAATGTCACTTACCCATGGATATGCAGCAGTTTTTGCATATCTTTGCGTAACTAACAAAAATGAACGTTTTTCATCCTTCCATGCCTCTTCCAAAGTGCAAAATTAGAAGACCTGGATATGCAGCAGTTTTTCATCTAAACATCTCAACCCAACTAAATAATCTTCAAATTGAATAGCTTTCTCTCAAAGCTTGAGACTTTAGTCCATAACATCACATGTTAAATTTGGTCAAGTCTGTAATTCATATAACCAATATTTGTTCAAGACTTCAAGTCTTATTTTAGGTAAATAATCTCTATTAATTCAAGTCACTATGTTAAGTCTCTAGATGCCATAAGTTATTTTGCTTTTCAGATATGCTAATTTAATGACTTGGTAGTTTTCTTTTCAAGACAGTCGTTTTTATAACCTTCTTTGACATGTGCAGAGCCCAAATAAATATTGTCGATTTTGCACTTTTTCTGTCAAAGGGCAATCGGAATGTTTTTAAATAATTATTCTTATTTAATTAATAACATAATTAATTAGTAAACTAGTTAAGTTAATAATATAATAAAAATTAATATTAATAAATAAAATTCTTATTATATTTTTTATTAGGAAAATTTATGCTATCAAAAGAGCTTTGACCAATCAAAGCACCCTAGTGAATTGTGGTGAACACCACTTGATTGGTCACCTAATTAATTGAATGTAACTTGTAACTATTGTAATTTTTTCTAGAATCATACCTTTTTAGTATTATAGTTGAACCCTTTTCTTAATACAAGTTTTTATTTAATATTAAGGTTAATATAAATTAATGCATATTTATTAATTATAATTTGATGTCCATTTAAATTTCATTTAAATTAAAAATTAACAACATGATTAGTTTTAAATTTAATTAATTATTATTAATTTAAAATCCCTAATCCATTGAAAAATAACAAAAATTATTAAATTTAAATAAAACTTTAGTAAAAGTCAAAACAATTTTATAAAAAGTAAAAATTAATACAATTAGAAATGTCACAGTGCTCCTTCTAAGGTTGCAACTTGGGCAGGTTAGATCAGATTGAAGGTCAACACAAGCCCAACCCTAACTCTCAAACCTTGAGCTTGGGCTTAACTGAACTCGATGTCTAACCCAAGCTTACCAACCCAAGCCCAAATCAACCTTAACTCAACACATCTTAGGTTGGGCATGGGCTCAGGTGGATTGATAATATGTAAGATATATGTATATCATAAAATGTTGGATCGGCTTATATTGGATTAGGTCGGGGTCAACTACAAAATCCTCAACTCAAACCCAACCTGAGTGTTTTGGCCCAAGCCCAACTTGAAGCCAAAAAACTCAAGCCCAACCTATACAAAAGCTTTGGTTGGGCTGGCCAAATTCAAATTGGACTCACCCAAGTTATACCCTAACTCTTTGTGCCTCATTTTTTTTTTAAGAAAACTGTGCATCGCATGAGTCGCTGCTAGGGAGAGGGAAATGCTGCTAGTGCTTCCCCCTTTGACACCTCGAACCATGTTTTAAAACCTGACCCTGAAACGGAGCCATCTATTTTCTCTGGGGTTGGTCAATGGTCCAACCATCCAGGTCGACAGTCCAACATATAATTATATTATAACTGTTAGATTAAGAAGATTGAATATCATCCTTTGGATCTAGGCTTGCTGAATATATAAGAAAATATGAGGGGCATGTATCAAAGGGAGAAAGAGATTAACAAACGAGGGAGGAGAAAGGGATCATTAGCCATAGCCAGAAGCTGACAATGACTCTTCGGTGGTTACAAACTTACAACAGTAGCACGACAACACCTCGTGTCTTCAGGGAGTAAGAGCATAGGAGAAAGAGAGAAGTAGCAATAGCCGAGTATCTTCATGCTTAAGGACATTTCTCCTCAACTCACACCAGAAACACCTCTCGTACTCTCTATCGGTGGTATAATAGGGAGAACTGATCTATGACAGTTGCATATCAGCAGCGGTGGCACGTATCAGATATTCAGCATGGAGGCATTGATAGTGACAACAAATCTACAATGATGGGTGAATGTATTTATTGGATTATTATGAATAAAGATGAGATAAAAATGGTGGTTCTATAAAAAAAAAAAAAATGCAATGGTTGGTGTGAAAAGAAGAAGAATAATAAGGGGAGAGGGAAAATAAAGAGACTTAGGCTATGTTTGGTTTGTTTGAAAATATATGGAAAGGAAAGGGAAAGACAGAAAAACCTATAGAAGGCTTATAAAGGTTTTTCTACCTTTTCATTCGAACCAAAAATAGCCTTAGGGTTATAGACATCATGTTTTAGGTTGGATGGATCACAACCCACAAACGGTTCAAGAGGTTTATCGGTTTAACTGTTTGGGTCAATGTTTTTTGACCAAAGTCAACAGTTTTCTCTCAAATATCGGGTTCAGGATGAAATGTTTGGTTTGTTTGAAAATATATGGAAAGGAAAGGGAAAGACAGAAAAACCTATAGAAGGCTTATAAAGGTTTTTCTACCTTTTCATTCGAACCAAAAATAGCCTTAGGGTTATAGACATCATGTTTTAGGTTGGATGGATCACAACCCACAAACGGTTCAAGAGGTTTATCGGTTTAACTGTTTGGGTCAATGTTTTTTGACCAAAGTCAACAGTTTTCTCTCAAATATCGGGTTCAGGATGAAACAGTCCCACTTTTTTTGTCCTGGTGATGGTTTGAACAGTTCAGTCAGTGTGGGTCAACGATGGGTTGAAAACCTTGCCTAGAACAGTGATTAGAGTCCCAATGTCTTCTGGATATCGTTGGTTTTTTCCTTCCGACACGAAATTCTTAACTCTAATAATTTTTGAAATTTTGAAAAATAATTGAGGGTAAAAGAGTCTTTTACCATTTTATTTTCAGATATAATGGTAGTGTCCTGATCACCTGCCAACAAAATCCCACTTTTATGGTGGGTTTCATTTTTATAGTGAGATGTGTGGTGTTGGAACAAGTTTGGTTTGCAAGATATCACTCATAACAATACCATATCCTCAAGGGTTCTCTCCATCATTTCACAAAAATACTTTTTGTCATTTCAGACAAGAGAAGGAGATTTTAGTACTTGTAAAATGTTATAATCCATTGGACAAATTTCTTAAACTACCCTTATAATTTAGTTAATTGACTAACTTTATCCTTATTGTTTACATATTACCTTAGAGTACCCTCCTAAGTTTTCTGACAATTGTCTGAAATCTCCCTTACCATTAACTTTCCATTACATTCTGTTACATGTGCCATCACGTGATTGATATGTTTTCCAAAAATTCTTAAAATATCCTTTCATCTAAGGCCATTCTACCTCTTTCTCTATCTCCCTCAATGGCGATAGGTCTTCTGCTAAAATGACTTCATCTTGGGATTGGGGTGGAGCAGCAAATTGTTGTAGAAGATATCATAATCATGGTTCGACAATAATCTACCTTAATCTTGAAGAACCTCAGGTTGCTGATAGGGTTACGGCTGCGATCCTGACATAAGGAGTCCAAACCCAACAAAGTAGTAGCCATGCCTTCATAAGTCATAAACTTGTTCCCCATTAAAATGTGGTGGTTTTGGATTAAGAAAACCACTCCTTCCATTATATATTGGGATGGATGAAGACCCTCAATCCTGATACCGATGGTGTTTCATCCGGGGATCAATACTACAACCGACCCAGACTCAAAAGAAATTTACTTCAAGAACTGATCTGAATATGTAGACCTTGATCTGTGTCACTTAATTTTAGGTGAATCAACAATCTCAAGATCTTGTTCACCAGTCATCTGCAGATGTTTTCCCACTCACGCACCAATGAGGTTGGACCAATGATGATGATGATTGTTGGCAAGTGATATCACGACGAGAACGTTGAGGAGAAATTAAGGCTCAGTTTGAAAGAGTACGAATACCACTACAAGAAAAACGGTCAAAGGCAACAGTCCTAAGATTGTCGGCTTAAGCCTTTAGACCACCGCCTTAGATATAAGGCGCCGATCAGGCGTCCGCCCCCACATCGACTGCTGCCCTAGATCAGGACCACTGGCTTAGATACAAATGACCGCCGCCCTAGATGGCCGGTTGAAGATGGTTTGAATTGCTCTACAGCAGCGGTCACTTATAACCGCCAGCTTAGAGTTAATATGGCAGCAGTTTTAATTGCCGGCTTAGGTAGTTAAAGACCGCCGCCTTTGATTTCTGCCATACTTTCTTGTATCCTTAGGTGGCAGTCTGAACCGCCGGGTTAGATAATATATGACCACCGCCTTTAAACCGGCGGTTACATGACCGCCGGCTTAGGCTTAGATCTTTTTTTATTTTTATTTATGCCGAGTTAATACTAACATTTTTTTTGCACCTGCACTTTCATTAATTGTTTATTACAAATCTATGCCAATTGATTTATAAAAGCAACTTAAATAAAAAAATATAATTTAAAGCAAAATGTTTTAATTTAAAAAAAATATTATATCCAAAACAAATTATTCAAATACAATATCCAATTGACACAAAAAGTACAAGGACTTAAAAAAATTCAATTTGTCGAATAATATAGCACATCTTCCAATGCAAACCCACTTAACATAATGATCAACCCTGCAAATAATAACATATAAATTGTTAGGAAATGTAAAATAAATGAGATATATCCATCCGCACAAAATATTAAAATGCATCAATGTAATATGGTAATCTTTCTAAGATAAACTAGTTATCTAATACATCAATCAATTTTTCTAAATAAAGTAATAAGAAATAAAACAAGTGTTACTTGGTATTATACATATGTTGATTGCATATTTCAAGCTCATGCTAAACCCTTTCGTGTAGCAGCCATTGATATGGCCCAACATAGAGTATGCACTATAGAACCAAAACCAAGAGAGATAAGACTTCCTCTCTTTGGTTGAATGTAATGTTCATGTATCCTGCAAAGAAATTCACCAAGAATGATTCAAAACAAAAAATAATTAATCAAATCTCATTCTAGTACCCTTCTTGATACCCAAAAGTTTTATTTTTTTTTCTGAAATTTTGCTCAAATTTAAAACCATGTTTTGAACTACTTTTCAATCATCATGTCGTTTTTCCCCATATCGGAAAGAGAAGTACTTCAATGAAAGAACTGGATAGGTAGGGAATCTCATTCATACAGACTCTAAAATAAATAAAGTTTATGCAATTATTTGTCAAAACTCTATCCTATTGCATACTTATCTCCCTCCCCAATCTATGGGAATCTTTCTACCTTTTTCTCGACTATGCAAAACAGTACATTTCTTTAGTTCTCTTTTGGTTTGTGTGTATTTTTTGTTTTTGTTTTATTTATTTATTTATTTTTTTTTGGGAGGGGGGATGCATCTCAAGGTAAGGCATGGAATTTTCTTTAGTTCTTCCAACCTAGTGAAACTATCTATGTGCATTTGTATCTGTGTTACTAGTAGACAATGTTTTAGAAGGTTTAAATCTCAAGTGAGGTTCACATGGCAAACCAGTTCAAAAGCACCTTAAGGCCCAATTGCCCAAGTGTCAATCTTTTATGTTACAGTGTATGCCTCATTATCTTTAACTTCTTTGAACCAAAGAACTTATGGTATCTCCATATTATAACTAAAAAGTACACATGGGAAAAGAACATTGTAGTTTATCTCAAAGGGTTTTTATTTCTTTTTCTCTTCTTTTTCTGCCTCTATGTTACCCATGAGTCCATCTTTATTCTTCACATGTCTCCCATAGTCTCTTCATAACTAATAACAACCACACCTCAAATTTTATTTATTTTTTCTTCTTTTTCTACCTCTACACTACTCATGGGTCCATCTTTATTCTTCATATGTCTCCCCTAGGCTCATCATAACTAATAACAACCATATTTCAATCATAAGAGGGACGATTTTCTTTTATACTTTTCAAGTTTAGGGGATTTCCAACCCAATGTTTTCCTTTTCTTTCCTACAAGAGCCTTTCATTATCTTAAAATCCTATGGTTTTACATTGAATTGGAAAGAAATAAGCTATCCAAAGTAAATAGAAGGCATTCTTCATAGAAATTAAAGAACCACATGTCAAGGATTACATTTCTATGCACTGCTAGCAACTTCTTTTGGTTAATTTTTCTGAATTATACATTAAAACTAATAATCCTTACCTCCGCTTTCTATTTTTCTCTTTATCAAAAATACCCCATTCATGTTTTTTTCTAAGGTTTTTGTTACTTGAAGACATGCAGTAGCACATAAAAATTAGCTACTTGGTTTTAATTTCAAAATTATTAGCACGTACTTGGAAAGATTACACAAAAGGCTACCAGAATAAATGAAGAGATCCAACTTGAAACCAATTTCTCTTACCTGATTATCAATCCCTCCTAGGGTTGGGTGTTTTTGTTGGGAAGCCTATCTGGAAAGATTCAATACTGGTGACCTACTTCAAAAGAAGAGACCCAATACATGCTTATCACCTCACTGGTGTGTCCAATGTAAAGCGGATGGGGAGACTAGGTTTCACTTACTGGTGCCGTGCCAATTTGCAAAGTCAATTTGGGAATGGGCTTGTTCATTCTTTGGGCGTAGGTGAAATCCTCCATCTGATTTGCAAAGCCTATTTTCTCCTTCTTTGTTCAGGTGGCGTAGGAAAAGAGGAAGGATAATGTGGAGAGGACTGAGGGCTGCAATTTGTTGGTCCTTATGGGAAGAGAGAAATCGTAGAATCTTCTCGGATAAGGAGAGAGGGGCTGAATTGAGGGCTGTGATTCATATCAGGGCTGTACAGTGGCTGAAATCAATAGAGTTATTCATCGACTACACGCTGGATGACATGTTAAGGAAGTAGGGTGAGGTTGCAAGTTGTATGAAGTCCAAATCAGTTGTGAAGGTGGTTTGGACACCCCCACCTGTTGGATTCCTAAAACTGAACTTTGATGGGAGTTGTAGGGGGAATCCTGGACAGTCAGGGATTGGGAGTGTATTTAGAGATGAGAACAGAGTCATTTTAGCCATGTTCTCAGGTCCAATTGGAGTGGGGGACTCTCTTAGAGATGAGATCTTGGCAGTTATGGAAGGTGTTTAGAAAGCCAAGGAAATGAACGTCAGAAAGCTCATAATTGAAGGGGACTCGGAGGTGATAATAGGGTGGCTGTGGAAAGACAACTACGGGCTATGGAAGTACAGAAATGAGAAAAGAAAGTTCAAGTGGTTGGTGCGGGAAATGGTTGAGTTGGGTTAATAGATCAGCTTACTTCTTTTTCCCCTTCTTTCTTTGAGGACTTGAGCTATCTTTGGAAGACAAGAGTGTTTGTCTTCCTTGATGTAACTATTCCTATCATATTTCAATAAAATGTATGAAGTTGTTATCGATCCAAAAAAAAAAAATTCTCTTACCTGATTCGCAAGATCATAGATTCCTTCACTGACATCAGATAAGACTGATTTTGCTGGAAGTAGTTCATCACATGGGAGGGTTGAGCTCAAGCTGCTAATTGCTTGGGTCTTGTTGGAAATATTCAAGAATCAAGGATAGTGCATGTGTCTCTAGTGAACCTGCCATTCAGTAATTTCCTTTCTGAGATCTGTCATTGTTTTCTTAAGTTTGATAATTTTCTTTCTTTCTGTACATTTCTAGGAGGTAAAGAATTCTTGAAAATATGTGAAACTATGGAATAAGAGAAAGTGGATTTACCTTTCTAGAAAGAAATACATCCCAAAGGCCAACCAATTAACACAGGACTCGTCCTGTTAATATCCAACATGCTATAATAAGCCTGAAATAGAAAAGGAATTCCTTATGACACTTCCAAATTTACTCGTGTGTTAAGTTCCCAAGAGATTTGATCCATTCTTTCAAGCACGGAATCAAACTTAAAAAATACTGAACGTGTATAAAGACACAAAATTAGTGGAACATCACAATGGGGGAACCTGTCTTTGTATGAGGGGAATATGAAGAGGATTTTTGAACCATCATTTAATAGGTCCTACTGTAGCATTTAAGTCAAATTCATCTCATTATTTGATGCCAACTATATATTATTAGTGCTAGCATTATACTACTACATGTTATTATTTCTTTCTTCTAAGAACATTAGCATTCAAATGGGTTGGTTGAGATCTACTTACAGGTGAAATGAATGGCGCAACTTCAGAAATCTGGATACTGCAATAGAATAAATGTCAAAATGACTCAGGGTTGAATTGATCAAGTCTGAAATTCAGGTAAACCGACTCAAACTTTATTGTAAAGTAGTTACCTGACAATGCAATGACAGCAATCAGGTTTATTGGAATAGCTACCGTTGTTGTTACATACCTGCAACAGAAACATCTTAAGTATGGTAATTGTAAGCACTGTGAAAGGTAAGCCCTGATTGAGCTTATGGGCTTGTAAGGATTATAGGAAGAAGGAAAGTTACACTATGTTTACCCCTGTCTATCAAGTGCCTGTTCTTTCTAGCCTGCCTCTCTATGTCTGCAGCTTCATAGTCAAGCCTCTGAGATGTAGAGTTAAGGAATCAGAAGCCTCTCCACCTTCTTCAGAGGTTTCTAGGTTGTCTCTAATGTCCTTCATTGCTCCCTGTAATTTCTGCAAAACTAGATGCTAGAATTTCCATTGACAAATATGCAACCACTCTGTATTCCATCTTCCTAACCTGTCAAATGAAGAACTCCAAATGTTAGCAACAAAATACCCCTGTTTTGCCTTTATACCTAACCCATAACACAATTAACAAAACCAAGAGAGCAAGAGAGAGAGAGACTAACCATATTTTTAGGTTATGTTTGGTTGGATAGAAAATAAGAAACAGAAAGTTCTCAAGGAATTTCACAGAATTTGTTAAAAACTTTCCTTGAAATTTCTATTTCTCTCTTATTTTCTATCAAACCAAACATATCCTTTAACCTTAACCCCCGAGGTATTGCAGAGAAGAAGACTAAATCAAATGAATAGAACTGTCAAGTGCCAACTTAAGCTAGTTTAAATAAACTTCAAAACAGAGGCCAACAGAAGAAGAAAACAATTCATATAGAGGCTTACCAGAGCTTAACAAATTTCTTGAAACCTGATCAGTACCTCAAATAGAAAGCCTTTGATTACCAATATTTACAGTACAGAAGCATTTGCACCAATTTTCAGAACCTAAATCAACCTTCAGAGCTTCGAATTCAAGCTCACTTTTTCTCATTCCCTAGCTTTTTAAAGAATTGAAAATTTGAAACTAGCCGCAGCTACAAAGCCTTCAGAGCTTCCAATATAAACCACTTAGATCTTAAGGCTGAGTTTGGAGGGAGTACAAATACAAATATGTAGAGTGCAAAACCTTGTATTTTGTATGTATTTACTCTGTACATATTTGCATTTGTACTCTTTCCAAACTGAGCCTAAATTTCACAAAATCATACAATACCTATTTCATAAACTTGAGTACAAGTCTCTCCAGTTCCTGAAATCCCAACTCTCAAAAGCCTTAAGTTCTCAACTTCTAGAGACTTGGGCAAGTCTAAAAACCCAGAAGCCCCAACAGAAGAGAATGAAAAGTCCTCTTAAAAAGCCCAAGTTGTCAAAGAATCAGACCTAAAATCAAGAATATCAGCAACTTTACTCAAACCCAGTTCACAAACACCCAGAAAAATGTTCGAGCATGTAATCATTTTTCTTGAATTCTTCTTCACAAACCAGTAATGCTGAACATAGATGTTCGAGCATGCTCAAATGCATGAGGAAGCAAATGGTTTAGAGCTTGCATGAATGGCACCTTCGATCAAACCATGAAGAAAACTAATTTCAAATTCACCGATTAATGCCCTAGAATCGGAGAAAACATAACTGAATCAACCACGAAGAAGCCGAAGAAGAAGAAGAAGCTCCCTTACCTTCAAAAGCTTTTCTCAATCGATTTCTAAAAAAGTTTTGCCAGAAAAACTCATCGAACGCGCAAAGTAGGAGGGAGTGCGAGAGTTTTTGACTTCTTGTTCTCCCTTTCAAATGGAAGAGGCTATTTAGACCGTCTCAAGCTCGGTTTAAATGCAAAAGTGTCGCGTCTGTTCTCAAAGACCGCCGGTTAGAATTTTATTTTCTTTATTTTAGTGTTATGAAGACCGCCGGCTCTAAACTTAAGTAAAGCAAATATTTGTATTTATACTCTTTTAATACAAATATTTGTGGTGTATACATATATATTATACGCATTGTACAATATTTGTATTTATACTCTTTCCAAACAGAGCTTAAAATAAAGCAAAGCATTTTCAATATATGGTGACAAAGGCGTTTTATTTAGTTGGTGCACATATCGGAGATTAATTACTCGTTGGCTTTAAGTGGATTGGACTCAACAGATTAAAAAAAGATGATGCAACTAAAGAGGGACGAGTTTATTTAGGAATTAATTGAGGGGGCAAAGGAGGATGAGGGCTTCAAGAACTTGGTACGAGTACCAGAGAATGGGATGTCAGATGTGGATACGGTAGGTTTCAAGAACTTTAGTCTATCTGTAGTTGTGATTCACTATAAAGCCTAATGAGTTTGTCTTGACCAGAATGGCCAAATGGGCGGTACTCTGCCTCATAGAATTTGGACTGGTCATGGGAGTAGCTAGACGTTTGAAGGATGTTAATAAAATGGTTTTGTAGTCCAAAAATGATGACCTTGGTGAAACCTAACGGTGTTCACGGTTTAGTTAAACCGGTCTTAACGTTTTTTCGATTTCTTTGAACCAAAATTAAACTGATACCATTGATTAACAAGTTGATCGGTTTCGGTTTTTTAGTTTTTGGTTTTTTATATTTATAATATATATTGTATAAATACATGTATGATATTATATTATAAATAATAAATAATATACATATATATATATATATATATATAAATGTATATATTGATCAATTCAGTTAACCATTATTTTTTTTAGGTTAACCGACAATCAAACTGGTCTTTTGATTTTTTTCAAAAGCATTGAATCAGAACCGAATTGATCAGTTCGGTTAACGGTATTTTTTGATTCAATTTTCGGTTTTATGGACACCCCTACCAAAAATAATTTAGTACCATCCATAGGAACAAAGGAGCCCAACAGTGAGTTGTGATTCTAGGAAAAACCTACAATGCATCCATAAATTCTGTACTTCATGAATTTTTACCTATTTGTGCTAGATTTAAATGCAAAAATGATTGTCGGGATTTGCAACGGTCATCTTCTTCGATATATTTCACTCTCAGCGTGAAAAAATGGGTCTCTAAAACATTCTATCCCTTTAAGTATATGATGGCAAAATGGACATTTTGTCGTTGCCAATCTCTCAACCTGTACTCTCTCCCCATTTCCCTGTTTCATTTTGAAAATTTGAAGGAGAATGATGGATAAAATAGTATTTTCGCTTCGGTCTTTAGTTAACAGACGTTAATGACAGTTGTTAATGGCAAAGAGTTTTTAGACAATTATAGAACTTAAGGGTGCTATATGATAATATGTAAATAATAAAGATAGAATTAATCAATTAACTAAATCATAAGGGTAATTTAAAAAATTTGTCCTAATGCATTTTCATTTGGACAACCAGCTCCTTGATTTATAGGGCAGCTTCTCTCTTCCCGCCCAAACGCTCCCTCTATTCTCACATTCCAGCCACTTCCGGTGCGCGTTCACAGGCACTTGAAATTGCAGTTAACTGTCTGTCAAGTTAGGGTTTTGAATCCCATTGTTGCATACAATTTGATGATTTGATCTCCTCTAAGCTCTAATGGCTGTATCGAACGAGGAAAGAGGTGCTACTGTTGTACTGGAGGAAGAAAAGGAGGGGAACCGTGAAGAGTCTGCTGATTACTATTTCGACAAGGTTGGAGAACCTGTGCCTCTTAAACCCCACGATTCCGTTTTCGATCTCGAAAGCCTTCCAGCACAGCCATTGGCGGTGTCCGAACAATTTAGTGCCATTTTTGTCGCCCATCCCGAAGGTTCTCCCTCTTACGTTCAGTTCGAGTTTTGTCGATTCTGATATTCTGTTAACGTTACCAAAAAAAAAAAAAAAGAAATTCTGTTAAGACTACTACTTATGGTTGGGTTTTGAGTTTATAATTTCCAGGTTTCTGCGTTGCGAGGACAAAGGACGTTATCGAGTTGGCCAAGGATATTAAAAACAAAGGAAGTAGTTCCTGCATCCAAGAACTGAGTATTGTAGATGTTCCACTTGGTAAGGTTTACATACTGGCACTGTCTATGGACTCTTCAACGCTTGCTGCTGCCGTTGGAGGAGATGTTCACTTTTTCTTGGTCGATTCGCTTCTCAAGAAGGTATTCATTTTAATTTTTGATGCTAATGATAATCTCATTTTCACAGGCAGGGCATAGACCCATACAATTCCTTAGACCAAAATATCTAGCAGAAATTCATTTTGCGATTGCCTTCTCTTGGATTTTATTAAATTCCTTTTGGGTTGTTGCTTCTGTTTTTCTTGATGCTTATGTAGTCCTACTTTAAAAACAGAGACCTTATTCAAAATCCAGAAATAATTTCCACATTCCATGTTACAATGAAGTACCTGACCTATTTTACTCAGACATACTAACTTCTGTTTTGAGTCTTTGTACAACGATTGGATACAAAATTCATAAACATGAAAACAAGAAATACCTTTATGGTATGAAATGAAAATCATTCTTTGGATGGATATTATTCAATTAGTATATTCTCTTTTTGCAAAACGGAACATACTATGTGATGATGCATTTGCTATCTATTCTATGCTAATTAGGAGGAGATGCTCCAGAGACATCAGAGGGTGTACTCAATACAAAGTTCGGTTATATCATGTTTGCTTCTTGACTTTGGAATTATTTAGGGACATCTCAGTAGACTCAATTTTGCCGAATTGGTATTCTGTCTGTACATAGGTTGGCAGCCCAAGTTGAAGAGATTGAGATTGCTAGGGTCCTCTCTTAGTCATTATCCTCATGCTATTTAGCATTTTTGGTGGCTATTCAATTGGGGATCCAATCCCTTTGGGATTTTTTTTGAATAAGGTAATAAAAGTATATTATTCAAAAGGAAGATATGCATGGGAGTCTCTCTTCCATGTGTATCAAGATGCTATGCATGACATGCTGAAATAACTACGTGAGCATAATGTCAATTAGTCAACAATGAGAGGTTCAGACTAAAAAATTGAAGCATGCCTAATTCCCTTGAAATCCTTATGGAATGATAGCTAAGATGAAGTCATTACAACCATATTCCTTGGGACTTCCTCTACTTATTGGCATATGCCCATGAAAACTCTGCTGCTTCTTTCCACCAGATGGCCCACATGATTTCCAAGGGAAAGCACCCATGTGAAATGGATCCTCTTTGACTTAGGCCATTCAACTTCCACAAGGTCAAGTTATCCTTGATGGAGTTTCCAGGGACTACTACACACCAAACATATTTAGATAGTGTGACCAAATACAAACGGAAAAATCACAATGGAGAAGAAAGTTATAAGCTGATTCCTCCCAAGAATAACAGAAAATACAGGTGGTAGAATCCAGTGTCAGGGCTCAGGCCTCTTCTAACCAGGCTGTCCATTGTGTGGCATTTCTCCCAGGTGGCAGTCCAAGAGGGAAAAAAAAACCAGAAAAAAATGGAGGAGGCTGCAGACTTCCAGATGACTTTGTGGGGAAAATCACTGTTAAGTGCATGAAGAAATAAAGGATCAGGTGGAGGAAATATTTAACTGAGACTGTCCCTGAAGGATCAATGATCCGTTTTCTTCTGTTGGAAATATTAGAATCAACTGGACTGTTTTTCATTTTTGGTGGTTATGAAGGGTTTGATTTTTTGGTTGGATCTATCTTTTGCCATCATTTTTTTATTAGCATTTGCCATCAGGTTTTATTATTACCCCAGTTGGGGCATCTTCTAATAGCGGGGTAGGATTCATGTAAGCTGACCCTATTTTTTTTTCCTTTTTGAGAAGTGGTAAAATGTTGTATTAATATTCAAGGATGAGTTTAGTTTTAATTGTCTGGAATTTTAGGTAGTAAAGGTATTTTTGTCATTTAACATTATTTGAGCAGATTAGCCATCCCAAGCATATCCTTTCAAAGTTTCAAGGTTCCAAGGCGAATCATGGCGATAGAGGGGTGTCTTGTCACCTAGTTGCCTAGGCACTTACTAGGCAAAGGAAATTTTTACATAGAAACCATGAATTCTAGAGTAACTCCCTAGGTTTCATAGCAATTGGCAACCATCTTTCATTGATAAATTATCTATAGACTTCATTAAAAAGTATAAGCTTCATATTAAAACATATAGATCAACATATTTATGAGAAGGAAAAGAAGAAAGGAAAATTCAGAAAATATAGGGGATGAGAATGTTTTGGAAATTGTAATCGTATCGTAAATTGTAGAGAAAGTTGAATCGAATCGAATTGTGAACTGTATTGTAAATCATAAGATTATTTCTATTTTATACAAACTTGTCAAAAAAATTAAATATGGATATATTAAGTCTAAATATATATAGGAAAGTGATTTTACCATATTTTTGATCTATATCTACCATATATCATATATGTACTTAAAACAATAGATAAGGGCTTTAAGAAAAGTCTCCCATGGAAAAACTAAACATAAACAAGAAAAAAAGTAGATAAGTAATTCTTAATTGAATTTATTTGAACCGTAGTGAATCGTAAAAACCGTAAGATTTATAAATCAAATTGTAGGATTCAAAAATCGTAAATCAAAAGATTTTGACAACATAAGATTTGAATTGAAACCCTTGGGATTCATGATTCAAATCGTGAATTGTATTGTAAATCAAAAGATTTTGACAACATTGTCTGAGCCCCTATTTTTGTCTAGGAATAAAGAATGTGTTGCTTGGACAGAATTTTAAATTCTTCCTTGCTTGTTGCTTTAGGTAGGGCTGTTCATGGGTCGGGTTAGGTCGGTTTATTGATTTTTTCCAATCGACCCGACCTAGTCGGGTTACCTGAAATTGAAACTGAAACCGACCCTGTGTTAAGCAAAACCGACCAGATCGGTTTGAGTCGGTTTGGGTCGGTTTCGGCTCTACTTAGTGGTGACTTAGTTGCTGTTCAAGTGTTCATTTCTGGCTCCACATTCCCAAAGGAAACCGACATTTCCTTAATGTTTTGTGGCCAATCCATGGATCCAGTTGTGGAGGGAGCAGAGTTTGAGAGACAACTTAGTTAAGTAGGTTGTAACTAGGATAGAGACAACTTAGTTAAGTAGGTTGTAACTAGGATAGAGACAACTTAGTTAAGTAGGAACTAAGTAGGTTGTAACTACTAACTAGGAACTAACTACTAAGTCGGTTCGGGTTGGGTCGGTCCGGGTTGGTCGGTTTGGGGGTTAGGTCTTCTTATGAACAGCCCTAGCTTCAGGTTTTGAAACTAGTATATAAACCTACATAATGAATATTTTAGTTTAATAATATATTCAATTATTATAATATCACAAAACGAAGAATACAAAGTGTTTCATAGAGTCATGTACAAAATAGGTAGGCGATTAAGTGAGATGACCATCCATGGGCACCTTGTTGCCTGGGTGTCACCTTGATAACTATGATCCCAAATATGCTTTCCTGCTACTAATTCGATTATCTTGAAAATATTTTGAGACCTTAGAAGAAAATCCTAGGAAAATCACACATTCAGACCTTAGTCTATAGAAAAGATAATCACCCCATAAACAATCCTTTCAGCTGTTTTCTCAAATTCTGCTTGCATCTCAAGTTTTTGCAAATATCACCTTACTCTTCTTTAAGAGTTCTGCTATTGCAGTTTTTTTCCCTAGAAAAGGCAACTTTCATTTCCAGAAAAAAGAAGGGGAGGAGATATACATGAGAAAATGTACAGATGAAACAGCAAAAATCCTAGAACCCACCCAAGAATTAGCATTGTACAAAAAAGCCCTATCCACCCTGGATTTAGCTAAAGCATCAGCTATATAATTCAACTCCCTCAGTATCTACCGAGCAAGACAAGAAGCTGAGATGCCTTGAATGCCATTATGAAGGTGAGCAAGTCTCAAGGTTCCATCTCCTTATTGTAAGACCATCTAATAGCATTCTTGGAGTTTCCATCAACAACAAGGGAGTTGACTTGAATGGATTTGGTGACCCTCATACCAATCAAGATAGCCCTGACTTAATCTTCTGAAGCATTAGTAACTCCAGCTGGTCCACTGTAAGCCCAAAGAACAATGCCATCAGCTTTAAGGATTAAGCCCCTAATAATAGGTGATTCCAATTGATCAAGAACTAATCTATGTTTGGCCTTGGAATAAGCAAAGGATTGGGATGAGAATCAAAATAAAATGAGTGCAGGACTTCAATAAGATTTCTATCCAAATCACCCTAATTAATACCTTTCAACCGTTTGCAAGACAACATCCATGAAAAAATTTGAGACATAACTCTACCTCTAAGACCTTCCAAAGCAGTGATTTAAAAGGCAAGCTTGAGGCTTATAGGTGAGGCACATTTCAAGGCCTGCACCTTGCCTGGGTGCTTTTCTTCAGTTGAGGTACATTTCTGCATTTCTGGTAGGTAGGGTTTGGGTTTGAGGTTTTATTTTATTTTATGGTTGGTTTTGGGTGTCTCAAACCCAATAGATGATCAAGTTTGTTCTGGTTTGGGTGCTTTTCTTCTTGGTTGACTGTTTTGAATGGTTCAATCCATGAGACAAGTGCCCAACCTAATACCAACCCCAGACTGCCACTCCTTGTTAAAGATCATCTGCTTGCTCTGGTTTTTGGTCTAGAAAATTTTACAGATGATACTCAGTTTTGATCCTTAACCCTCTCTATATTATAAATGTCAATTCTATTACTTGGGTACTCGAGAATTTGTGGTAATGAAATATTAATAGCATTAATTTTATTCTGCTTTTATATTTGAATGATAATCACTTGGATAACACTTCCAGTATTAATTGCTTTTATTGGCATTATGAAGGAGAAAAACCCATCTTTCCACTGTTCGCTCACTGATTCTTGCCATGTCAAAGACCTTCGGTGGAGAAAAAAATTGGAGAATTCCTATGTTGTTCTTTCTAATCATGGAATTCTATACCAGGGAGTTGTTGGAAGCCCTTTGAAAGATGTCATGGACAATGTTGATGCTGGTTTGTTCTGGACTTTTAGATTTGTTTCATTGCATTGTGTAATATGTAGCATCTTTTGCTCTAATATGCCAACAATTCTTTTTGTTGTTTTTTGGTAATTCTTTTGTTCTGGATTTTATAGTAGGATATTGGTATCTTTCTTTTTTCTTCATTGATAACTTGATGCATAGAAAAGTTACAATTATTTGAAAAGCAAGTGTGAAATTAGAAAAGAGAGGCACCTATATAAAAATTTAGGGAAGAGAAGCGGAGGGTAGGCACAAGAGAAGTTGATCCACCAACAATGTAGGGGATCTGGAAAGGAATCACAAAGTTCATCTTAGCCTTCTTAAAAATGTTTGCAATGAAGTGTGAAGTGGGACTCTTTGCTGGTGAAGTGGTGATGGGTTGGATGGTTAACAACAATGATGGGCCATGGATTTTTTCAATTGCAAATAAGGGAAGCAAGGAGGCTAGCAGATGAGGCTAAGGCTAAATTTAAATGGATCAACAGGTCAGCAAACACAATGGAAAATATGCTGGCAAAGCAAGGGGTGCACAAGGAACATTTGTTCTAGGCTAACCTAGTCTCTTAATGTGTGGTTGGCTTGATCTAGGAGCCTTATACTAAAATGGGTGTGATTTTGGCAATTGGATGTGATTTTGGGATGACTTCTTACTTGATCTCATTTTCAAGGTCTAAAACGGGTGTGTTTGGAAATTTAAAAGAGGGATAGGAGGATTTGGACCTTGTCACCCTATGATACTTTTACATGTGCATCCTTTTTCTTGTCCCTCATTCAGCTGAGTGGTGGCCATGGTTTTTCTTTTCAATTAAGGAGATTTGGAGTAAGCTTGTTGTTCTACATAGGGTGGGTGGTGTGTGTTGGGAAGTGTATCGGGAAAGAATTAATATTTGTGAGTTACTGCAAAGAAAATGATCTAATTGATGCCTTTCCCCACATTGGTGCTCTCTCTGCAAAGTCAATGATGAGAATTGCTCACTTATTAATCTCCCGCCCTTTTTCTTCTTCAATTTAGGAGTGGTTTCTATCTTTGTTTGGGTGCAAGTGGAATCTTCTGCCTAATGTACAAAGCCTATTTGCTCCTATTTTCATAAGCTGGCCAAAGAAGAGGGGAAGAATACTATGGAGGTCAGTGATTTAAAAGGTGTGCCTAGGCACCTAGGCGAAGTGCATTTTAGGGTAGGCGCCTCGCCTAGGTCCTAGGCACAACCCTTTCAAAAGGCACATGCTTGGTGCGCCTAGGTGTGTGCTTGATGCACCTTGCGCCTCGGCCAAGGTGTGTGCCTTTTGAAAATTTGACTTTTTTTGAACCTAGTGGCTGGCCCGGGGGCAAAGCCCCCAAACCCTCATGCCACGCCCTTCATGGCAAGCCTAAACAAGTCCATGTTAGTGTCTTATTGAAGCTTCGAGAACACCCTATTTGGTAATGTTGTTCATTTATTCATCCTAATAAAATATCTTATTGAATAGCAATTAAAATTAAAAAATCATTATTTTTGTGTGAGAACTAAGAAGTTAAGACCCTAACATGGACTTGTTTGGGATTGCCTCGAGGGGTGCGACACAAAGGCGGCTCGTAGAATCAGGAATCTAATATGTTTTACATTACATTAGCTAGTTGAAGTAATGCAATTGAGAAAAAAAAGAGATTATGGGTTTTACATGCTTAAAAATGTTTTATATGTTTGATTTTATTTTTAAGTTCTCATTTGAATATGCTTTACATGTTATGTTTATGTATTTTAATTTTAGATAATAGGTTTTTTAAAATATTTATTTTAAAACTTAAGTTTATGTTTTTATATTAATATTATGTTTAATATTTTTTTTGCATTTTTTTGAAAAAAATGGCATTTTTTGGATTCTTTAGCATTTTTTTTTTTAATTTTTGTGCCTTGCTTCAAAAAGGCACATGCCTCGCCTTGCGCCTCAGGTGCAAATTGACCCCTGCACCTTTTTTTTGCACCTTGCACTTTTAAAACACTCCGTGCACAAGGGTAGTAGTTTGTTGGACAATTTGGGAAGAGAGGAATTAGAGAATCTTTCTTGAAAGAGAAAGAAGTAGAGAAGCTATCATAGAATCCATTATCATTATAGTGGTTCACTGGGTGAAGTCATTGGATCTCTACAAGGATATTTTGGGGATTGAGTTGATGAGGAATTGGAGGGAGGTAGCTGGTTCTTCTCCCTTTAAGGAGGTGGTTAGGCCTTTTTGGTCCCCGTCTCCTAGAGGAGTTAATAAAGTTTAACATTGATGTCAGTAGTGAAGGCAATCTGGGCCCGTTTAGCATTGGAGGAGTCTTTAGGAATGAGGAGGGAAAAGTCATTGCAATTTACTCAGGCCCTATTGGAATAGGGGATTACTTGAGGGCTGAAATTATGGCTATTGTAGAAGGGTTGCAAAAGGCTAAGGAGCTGAATATTGGGAGGTTAATAATTGAAGGTGATTCGAAGCTTGTCATAAGCTGGCTCTGAAAGGAAGAGGAGGCTGGATGGTGGTGCTACATATGTGAGAAAAGGAAAGCCATGAAATTGCTACGGGGATAGAAGTGACCTACAATTGGGTCAGAAGAGATGCAAATGCTTTTGTTGAAACACTTGCTAAACAAGGGGTGGGAAGGAACAATTTGTTTTTGTCTATGTTGTAATTGAATTCTCTGTTGGGGAGAGCTAAAAGAGTTTATTTCTCCCCTCTTTCTTTCTTTATCCATTGTTTTAAGATTTTCCTCATTAATGAATTTGGTTCTATTATTGATAAAAAAGTATGGTCTCTTTGTGATGTAGGGATTCATTGCAATTTTCTAATCTGGTCACTAAAGGATAGGGGAAATGAAATCTCGATGACTAGGAAATCTTTACTTTTGTTTTATTTTCTAGGCTAGAAAAGATTGATATCAAGGAACACAGAGATGACATAAGGTAAGGGTTTGGACGTTTGATGGGGAAATGGGCATGCTCCGAAGCAAGTTCTTCAGTTTATGTACTACTTACTTTTCTGCATAGGTTTGTCTAGAATTGGGGATGTCAACTGACCTAGTCTTATATGGGTGACTATCAGAGAGAAGACAAAATGTGAAAGTTTGATGGGGAAATGAGCAATGTTCCAAGCAAGTTTTTTAGTTTGTGTACTGCTGACCTTTATGCCTAGGTTTGTCTAGAATTAGGGATGTCAACTGACTAGGTTTGATATGGGATAATGGGACACTGCCACTAATACTTAGATTTATAGACTATACTATAAGAGCATGTCAAGAAACCAAGAACTTCATTTTTTATCCAAGGAGAAGCGCAAGGGCTGTCCAAGAGAAAGGTCAGCTTGCGGATGGATTAATTTATTTAGTTCTTTGTGTGTTGACAACAGAGTTCATCAGATCTCATAAGTTTCTTAAAAGATTCTAGTCCTATAATTATTATTTTTTGGTTGGTAGGTCTTCAATCTTATTTTTATAGGTTCTTTTGTATAAACAGGTTAGAAAAGTCCATGTGGGAGTATTTAAGAGTTATTTCTAATTCATTCTGCTTAAGATGTATTGTAGAAAGCCCTAGTTGATGTGATCATACACCTTTATTTCTGTTAACTTAATAGATAACCCCATGGATAACACTTTTAGAGTCAATGAGTTCGTTTGCTATGATGCCCATCCTATATTTGTCTACACTAATATTTTGAAAATCATTATTTTATTGTCCATTTGGTTAATGTAATGGTGAAGGACTTTTCCCCAACTTAGTGAGATTTTAGGGTAGGCAAGTCCTTTCCTCCCTTGCTTATTACAAATTACAATCATAGTTGATACCCTTAGCTGATTGATCACTTTAGATTAGGATTGATAATATGATGGAGGGTTTGTATAGGTGTAATGTGGGCTGTGCCTAGCTGGCATGACATGGTTTTGTTGTGCTGCTTGCATTATAGTGGGTTGTCCTGACACGACCCAATAGATCAGGGAGGGCGGATGGCTTGGTCCGTGGGCCAAGACAATTTTTTTATTAAGGAAAAATAAAAAATATATATTTATATATTATTAATACAATATGTATTTATGTATTATTAACACTATATATATTTATATATAATTTATAGGACCCAATTGGATTCCAATAGAAGTGTGGAAAGGTATGGGAGAAGTAGGCTTGTCATGACTAAGTTGAATACTTGAAAGTGCGGTATTGGCAGTAGAGGATATTAGTGAAAATAAGAAAGAGGCAGGGGTTAATTAGTAACTTTGAGAGATTCTTGACTGCCCTTGTTACCTTTGGTTATACACAGACTTAGTTTGATCATACTCTATTTGTTAAGAGGAGAGGTTCCTTGGTGACCCTTTTGATTGTTTATGTTGATGATATTGTGGTTACTAATGATGACACCCAAGAAGTAGTTAATTTGAAAAGGTTTCTTAACACTGAATTTGAGATAAAAAATTTGGGTGACTCAGATATTTCTTGGGAATTGAAGTTGCTCAGTCTAAGGTTGGTATCTTTATTTCTCAATGTAAGTATGTCCTTGATCTACTTGTGGAAACTGGAAATTGGCAAACTTGGTGCTAAACCGACTTCCACTCCTATAGACTTAAATCACAAGCTCTCAACTACTGATGGTGAATTGTTGACTGAAAGGGGAGTGTTACAGAGACCGCTTGGGAAGTTGTTATATCTTTTCATGACTCGCCAGATATTTCTTATGCAGTGTCATTAGTCTGTTCATGCATTCTCCTAAAGATACACATTTAGCAGCTATAGAGAGGATTCTTAGTTACTTGAAAGGTACTCTAGGGAAGGGTATCCTGCATGCCAAGCATGGGCATATGAAGTTGGAAGCATACACTGGTGTTGGGTGGGCTGGGTGTATTGATCATTAGGAGATCCACCTTAGGATACTGTGTTGTGGTGGCAAGGAACATTGTTTCCTTAGCTGAGGCAAAGTAGAGTTCAATGACACATGGAGTTTTAGAACTATTGTGACTTAGATCACTTTTGGGAGAATTGGGTATTGAT